TAGAAATATAAATACGTTGATTTCGGATCAAGATATCAACAACAGGTTTAAAATTCAAATCAACGGAATTACAATTTTGAATGTTCACATTTTATTTAATTTTTTCGATAGAAAGATGTTGTAGGAGAGAGATTTTTCTTAATACGTTCTTACAAGGAAAAATTCGTCAGAAAAGTTTCGTTCGTAAATGACGCAGCTGCTTTATGGATCCGTTCGAGCTACAAATTTCCTGGTTCACGTGCGAGCCGCTTATTAAGATAGCATAAGGTTCGCGCAAAAAGTAAATCGCCTTCTTCCTTTGGATCGAGGTCAGTGTTAAACCCACAATTATTTTGACGAATTAAAAAAGCAGATATTTTTCTTTCGTACAAGTTTAGAGGTTCGTTAAGAATCCGGTTTAAATATCAATGGCTGGTTTATATTTTGATATCTTTGGACATTCAAATGAACACGGGTAAAAAAGAAAAAGTTGATAAATACATACAATGAAAGATAGGATTTTTAAAAATTTTTTATTAATTTTATCGTATTATTTATCGTTTAAAAATTATATGTTTTATAAAGAAAAGTTATTATTTTGTATGAAACAAATAAATAATTTACAATTTTTTGTATTTTATATAGATAGATATAAATCATTTATTATTTATATGATAAATGACGTATATTTATGTTACGTTAATTACGTATCATAACGCGATTATTTATGATTATAATTATATGATGCATGTGTGAATTGAATAGCACACATATATATTTGAATTTGAAAATGATTCGTGGTTTATTCTTTTCTCGCCAGCGTTATTATTAATAATTGTCAATCAATACGAATTACAATGAATCAAAATCCGTTCCGTGAAAATAAAATTAAACAAGATTAATTCGATAAAGTAAACATTTCAAGAATAGTATTATTTAAACATACGAATACAGGGTTATTTTATTTTATTTTCTTAAAGAATTTAAATATCTCTATCAAATTAAATTTATGTTATTACATTTTATCCAATTCACCTGCTACTCTTCCATCTCGATTCTCCAATTCTTAAATTTTCGAAACATCGTAAATTACAATTTTTCGAATATTCAATTACTTCGTTTCATTCTTCCATTCTATTATTTTCTAAAATCTTTCTTTCGACGAACTCCAACACGGAAAAATTCGAAAAGACAACCAATTCATTCTCGAGCACAAATCCAACCCTTTCATCCGTCCCTTAATTCTCAAGATCTGATATCGATGGCGCGAGCGAGCGAGGCAGAGTTCCGTGCTCCAATTCCGCGTGTATCAGGTATTTCGGTATTCACACTTGGCCGAACAATCTAAAATTTCCTCGAGTTCTGACAATAACGTTGCACGCAGAATCGAAACGAAGCGTGAGAGTGTGGCGTCGAAGATAAGATTTTTGCGAAAGGCGCGCCATACATCGCCTACAAAATGGCGATAAATCGATTTACGGTGGAACACGTGTAAAAGAAGGGAGAGAAAAGGGGGGAAGGAGGATAGGAAGGTGAGGCGAAGAAGAAGAAGAAGAAGAGCTGGCGGAAGGAAAGACCAGGGGATCGCAAGATACGCACGTGATCATCGTGGCCACTGTTAAATTGATAGCAACTCATACACAATGAACTTCATTTATAATCGCCGACTCTAATTCGAGCTACTTCGGCTAGTTACGAAGTGGCAGAAGCAAATCTCAACGACAACGCCGCCTCTCTGGCAAACGTCGAATTCGAAGAAATCGAGACGACGCGAGAATTCTGCTTACGACGATCTGCTTTTATTATTAACACCCAACTTTTATATCTCGACTTGCTCGTCGCGTTACATTCTTGTCTTTCCACTAAGATATTCGAACGAATCGAACGTGAAAATAGGTACGCATGCATAAGTGTTCAAATTTAATGAAAAAAAAGAAAAGGAGTTGTTTCTTCCTTGTCGAGATTTGTCGGTTTTATTTGCTTGTTTTCTTCGTTGTACCGATCTTTCGTAATTTGGTGATCACAGGCAATTTGTATATCCACGATCGTTTTAACCAATTTTCGATTAATTTTGTTCGTAAAATTATGAAAAATTCTGTTTCAGTTGCAAAAATATCCGCAGCAGAGCTATCTCGCAACTCGAAGTTTTATTTTATTTTAGTGGATACTTTCGTATGTACGTTGGAGCAATTTAGAGAAAATTTTTTTCCGAAATTTTAAAATCAATTAGAAACCTTTTTTTGCAACAGGATAAAACGGGGATAATTGAAACTTGAATATTTCATAGTTTTATCTTTTGCGTATCGTTATCGAGTTAAAAAAAAAAAAGAAAAACGAAAATAATGCTCCTTTACTTATCTTTACCTTGGTCGAGAATAAAAAAATAGGAGAATACGAAAAATTTACTTGCGAAATTATAAGGAAAACGCGATGTCCGTGCTATCACCTGTATTTCCATCAGATTAACCTTAATAATTATCCGATCGAAAGTATGATCTTTGTTCGATTCGAATTAACCAGCGTGGCTGATCTCATTTGAATATTAGCAATCGATGATGCCTCTCATCAAGCGTGATGAGTATTGTACAACAAAGTGCGGGCGGGACAATAAAAACGGGTGCATTTGGAAAACAAGGTCGGACGAGACGAACTTCTTTTTATATTATATATTTTGTGTGCATTTGAGTGTACTTAAGCCGGTTGCATCTTTTGATACGGAAAAAAAAAAGAAAAGAAAGAGAAAAAACGATGGACGCCGATCAATAACGATTCGAATAAATGAATTCGCGATTAATTCAAGCATGACGGATGTAATCGAGCATAAAATTGAAATAATTTAACGTGATTCTGGAAACAAGTAGTTGCAATTGAAAATTCATTGTTACACGCAAGATGCATATAGATTGATGAATTTATTTCGTATTTTACAGCGTTTAAATATAGATCTCCTGCTTGGGATTATATCTGTGTTGGTTAAAAATAATTAGAAACTGTATCTGTGTTATACAATTAAACGTTGTAATAAAATTACAATTTGAAGGAACTCGATACATGTTTTAATTTCCAATTTTTATTAATCTTTTATCACGAGTAGACGCAGTATCGAAGAATATTAACGAGGAAATGGAAAGGATATTCGGCTCGTGAGATTCGCGTACCAAGATGGTTTTAAAGTTTTTTTATACGATCGCGATCGAAAGTATTGAAAAATAAGTTTCATTGATCACGATAAAATTAGATTAAGCTCGAGGATTCGCTCCTCTTGTTAGATACGGATTGAAATGACTCCTCGTATCTTGTAAATTCGTTATTAATAATATCTTTGCCAAGTTTAAATAATTTCGAAATTAAAAATTTTACCTCCCCTCCCCTCCGATCATACAATATAATTTTTCAAATAAAATTATTTAAAAATACATTTTTTAAACTCCAACCTTTCCAAAAGGGAATAATTTGAAAATTAATTTTCCTCCTTGAGCTCAGGCTCAACTCGATTAGCAAAGAAAATTACGGAGGGAGCGGGGGGGGGGGGGAAGCAAGGAAAAAATATCGAAAAAAAAAAGAAATATTCTCCTGGACAATCGACGAAAACTGGACACGACTGACACGTTATTTCATTTTCGTTCGCAGAATACACCGCAAGAGCCGAAGCAGTACCGTTCGCCGTATGGGTGCCTGGGTTGACGATCGTTTCGCGGCGGAGGAGGCGGTCCCGATTATCCAGGGCCCGAGAAGAAGGAAAGCGTCCCGCATCCTGGGCCACGTTTGCGATGGTTGCGGCCCAGACGCGATACACCGCCAGTGTTTCGCAACAAGGAACTTTTTTGTTCTCGACTCGCCGCGCGTCTCGCCGTCGTCTTTGTTGCCGTTGCGCCGCCAGTTCACTAGACAGCTCTACGAGTGGCCGGGTTTACCGTTGTTCAAATCAAGGACGAAACTAGATCAGTTTTGAACAGTTTCCCCAACGGATAATAGAAAAAATTCTCTTCCCTGTGTGTTTCCAGTGCTTAACCGGAAGAGAGGAGGGAAAAGTAGATAAAAAGTAGAAGGAGAAGTGTATCGTCGTGTCCATCGTCGCTTAGGGTGTAGTTAGGGACGAGAGATAGATTGGATAGGTAGAAGGTAGGGATAGAAGAATTAGGTTCGATGTGGTTGAGTTGGCCGGTCGAGGACTGCACTTGAACGGCAGGCTCCTCCTTATTCTTGGCGATCCGTGCCGATCATCATGGCCGAGTGGGCCAAGTTCAACGGCGAGGAGAAGCTGAGCCGATCGTCTAGGAGGAAGGAGGAGGGGAACGGTGACTCGAGGGGAGGCGTGGAGGAGGCGAGCGCGGAGAAGAGGTGTTCCTCCTCGTTGAACAGAGCGGTCCAGGAGGCGAGCCCGGTTAGAACGGGATCAGTGAAAGGTAGCGGTGAGGACGAGTCGGCGGCAGGGGGTAGGGGGAGCGGATCGAGGCAGAGGAAGCAAAGTTCGGATCGGATCGGGATCCTGTCCGAGGAGCGGTCGAAATTGTGCAACGATCAGAGCTACTACGTGAACTCGATCGTGATCGAGAGGGACGAGGAAATTCGGAATTGCCTGGAGGAGAGGGAGGGAGGGTTGGACGGTTACGAGGAGGCTGGCTCGAAGATACGGGAGGAGGCGAGGCGGAGTTGTCGAGGAACGAATCGTCGTCCCGCAACTCGGTGAAAAAGCCGGACAGTTTGTACAGCAGCAGCAGCAACAACAACAACAACAACAACAACAACAACAACAATAACAACAAGAAGAAGGATAAGATCGTGGCAAGCCCGGCCAAGCGTAAAAGCGTCTTCGCCGAGAGGAACTCGATCTTCGCGTCCCCGACCAAGATCCTGTCCAAGAATCAATCCTCGTCCCAGAAGAGCACGGAGAAATTGGTGAACGGTAAGTTGCCGCGGGAGGACAGGCAACAGCATCACGTGCAATTCAACAAAGACTCGAAGAGGCAGCAGCAGGATTCGAGGGATTCGCAGAGGCCCCAGTCGAGCCCCTCGATCCCACCCTCGACGACCAACAGCTCGGACGACAACTCGAGCCTTGGCCAATTGTGCGAGGCGACTCCGCCCGACGGTGGTTGGGGATGGGTGGTGGTCGCGGCTTCCTTCATGGTGAATCTGATCGCGGACGGTATCACGTTCTCGTTCGGTGTCATATACGTCGAGTTCCTCAATTATTTCGGCGAGGGTAAATCGAAGACGGCATGGATAGGCAGCCTGTTCATGGCGATGCCGCTGTTGTCTGGCCCGGTGGCCAGCTTCCTCACGGACAGATACGGGTGTCGGAGGGTGTCGATAGCGGGCAGCATCCTGGCCACCGCCGGCTTCGTGATAAGCTCTTACGCAAACTCGATGGAAGTTTTGATATTCACGTTCGGTGTTCTGGCCGGTTTCGGTTTGTCATTGTGCTTCGTCGCGGCCGTGGTCATAGTGGCGTATTACTTCGACAAGAAGAGATCGTTCGCCACCGGGTTGTCCGTATGCGGAAGCGGTATAGGGACGTTCATATTCGCCCCTGTTACCCAATACCTGCTCGCCGAATACGGTTGGCGGGGAACCACGTTGATACTGGCCGGCCTGTTCCTCAATCTGGCCGTGTGCGGTTGCCTGATGAGGGATCTGGAATGGACGACGATCAGGGCCAGGGCGAAGACCGAGGAACGGCGGAGGAATCGGGAGAGGAAGAGGGGCAGGATACAGAGCTCGAGCGTGGACTCGTTCTCCGCCAACAGCTCGCTAAACACTCTCACGATCATGGATAATCTTCGGATCCAGGAGAAGGAGGAGGACGACGAAAAGCTGTTTTCCAGCCTGGTCAGCCTGCCCACGTTCGTGAAGAACAGCGAGAAGGTGCCGTTGGAGGTATTGGAGCTTCTGAGCACCCGTAAGAACGTGTACAACGTGTTGCTGCAAAATTATCCGAGCTTGCTCATCTCCTCGAGAAGTTTCAGCGATTCCGGCCCCCTTCACGACCAGCTCAGCACACCCTCGGCCAGATTCGTGCCCACGCCCAGCTCCCTGTCCGAGTTGAAGAGCGAGGAGAACGCGAGGGAGGAGAAGGCGTTGGCCAACGACGAGCAAACTCTTCGACAGCAAACGGACGCGGCATGGCGGCTCTGGTGGTCGAAGAAGATCAATCTGGACAGCTCGTTGAGAAGATCCAGCACGCTCGACCATACCAGGAGATTGCCCACCGCTTATTTGAAGGATATCAGAGTGCACAGGCACAGCCTTACCTACAGGGGCGCTATGCTCAATATAAATCGATACAGGCTCAGGGCGTCCAGTTGTCCGGATATTTATAGGAACTCGATGACCACCATAGCAAAGACCAAGCTCGTGTGGTACGCGGGCCTGTGGGAATTCTGGGACCTCGTAGTCGACATGCTCGATTTCTCCCATTTCGCCGACTCCCGCTTCTTGCTCTTCGCCATCAGCAATTTCCTCCTTCACACCTGGTACGACGTCCCGTACGTCTACTTGACGGACAACGCGATCGAGATGGGTTTCAGCGAAACCGACGCGTCCATCTTGATATCGGTTATAGGGATATCCAATATGAGTGGTGAGGTAAGGATCGTTCTTTATTTAACCCTTTCGCTACGGCCGACTTCTCCGCCGCGCCAAAAATATGCGCGAGAAGAAAGATCAACGTCAACGCTTCGATTCGAGTTGCTTCGACGGTGAATTATTGGGGGGGGGGGGGGGAATTGACGATAAAAACAAAATATCGATGCTTACGTTTCCGTTACGTTTGCGTTATCGATGTGCGATAACTTGGATCGCTCATATCGTACGATACGTGGCGGACTATAGTCGCCCATAGCGAAAGATTAACGAAATGTGTAAAATTAATTAAGAATTACGTTGATTTGTCGAGTTCGATTTTCAAATATCGTTTTACCACGGATGATCTTTTTCGAACGATTTCGAAGTACGATTTCCCATCTGGACAAGCTTTTTCGATTGAATTGTAGAATGCAATGTTAATATGCATGAAATATTAGATTTTTACGCGCATAAGAAGTTATTCTTCTCGTTTCTACGTTTTGGTAATAAAAAATTTTGAAGTAATAGTTGAAAATCGAGAAAATAGGTTTATCACTTGATACCGATCGTGTCACTTCAACCGAATGTGTCGATAATTTCAAATATCGATGTTCCTTGTTCACTGGGTTTCTCCTTTGCTTTCTCCATTACTTCGTTCCTTTACGTGTTCCAATATTAGTTTGCCTCACCGTTGTTTATCGGCCAATAAAGAAGTGATTATTTCCATTTACCGATTCGCCGAGACATCGTTCCTGAAACAATATTTTCTTTTTGACGAGTGATATTTCTGAAAATTCAGTTAATCGCTTCGAACGTTCCTACGGCTTCGAAATGATCAAATTAAATCCAGTAACCACTTATGCAACAATCGATAGGCCTTTCCATTTTCTAACCTTGTAAAAATCTTTCTACATTAATCTTTTATATATCGTGATGTATCGTTCCAACTCTCTCTACCTAAATTCAATATTCCAATTTTGAAAACGTTCATTTCTTTTTTAATTTTAATCCGTTGTAATTCAACCGATGTATTTCCAAATCTCTCTACAAGCGCAAACGAGAAAACACACGTATCGCACAGATCGAACTAGTTTTTTTTTTTTTTTCTTTTTGCTAAACTAGAAAAGCTTCTTACAGGTTCGTATTACGTCAATCCCGTCTTAGGTCAATCAGCGTGACGCGACTAGTCTTACTTCCTTTCACCCTCCCTGATCTCATTCGATTGTAAACTCCCTTTAACCCTGAGATCGTGTCACGCAAGGGTTATATTATGCCACTTCTGTGCTGGCCACAATTAATCGGTATGGGACGATTCTGAGAAAAGTTGCCCGCTTTCTATCGATTCTGCGAAATCGGAATATATCGCGAAGGAAAAACGATCGAACGATCGTTTGAATAGAAATCTATTAAATTTGCAAATGCAATTGTAAAAGGAATACATCGATATTTTTTTCCTTTTCAGAATAAATTGTTGTTATGAGAGACATCGCGACGAAATTTTTGTTTATTAAGGGGAATAAATCGTTTTCTCTTTTTCAGATTCTCCTCGGTTGGGCAGGCGACAAAGCATGGGTAAACGCTTCCATCGTATACGCAGTGTGCATGGCCCTCTGCGGTGCAGTGACAGCTTTAATACCTATGGTAGTTGGCAATTACTATGCTTTGTGCGCAATCTCTGGTGCTTTTGGATTATTCATCGGAGCAAATTATAGTCTTACCAGCATCATCCTCGTCGAACTGATCACGCTCGAAAGATTTACAAACGCGTACGGCCTTTTGCTTTTGGTTCAAGGTGTTGCCAATCTCATGGGCCCTCCATTGGCTGGTAAGAAACAGAATAAAAATATAACATTCGGTTCAACAAATTGAAAATGAACAATTTCTTTAACGATTTCGTGTTAAAAATGATTTTCAATCGTTTTGTCAATACAGTTTCTGCTGTGATTAGATAACGGGATGAACGGTAGTGTTCAGTGAATGGATACATAGTAATGCAACTAGCGCAACTGCGAAAAAGCAAGTTCAATTATCAGTAGCTCTGCCCACGGTAACTCTGAAACTCTTATATGAATTATACGGCCGTAATAGTTTTCAAGTTCCATGGCCCAGATTGTGAGCCGTGTAATTATGGCCAAACTTTCATTGTCTGGAGGAAATTCGAGATAATGCATGCATCCTTCGCTATCTATCCACGAAGTCTACCACGAAACGCGTTTTCTGTTTGTTTCAGGTTGGCTTTACGACATCACAGGCACCTACGATCTGTCGTTTTATTTGGCCGGTTTCTTCATTGCGTTGAGCGGAGTTCTGTTGCTGGCCATGCCTTTGATTAGCCTCTATCGAAAATGTTTGAACGGATCGAGGAAGGAAGAGACGGATAAGGATTTCGCGAACATGAACAGAGTTTGAACAAACGGCGACTAGTATTAAAGATGATTATACTCGAGAAAACTATGATAACGATGTACATCGATATATTATCAATTCAACGGAATTTATGGAAACATAACACTTCCAAGCAAAAGGAATTGCAATTAGCACCTGTACAATTAGTTTTACAGCGGTATTTTTTACCCGCAATACGTGTTAAAATCAGTCGCGTGTTTTACATTCAATTAAACGTTCGTGGTTCCTTCATAGAATAGCGTATACACGAGTTGATTAACAACAATTAAGCTCGACAATTAAGTGATTCATCTAAAAGAAAAGAAAAGAAAAGAAAAGAAAATAAAAAAAAAGAAAGAAAGAAGGAAAAGAAATAACGTTTTTTGAGATATCTTCTTTCATTAAGGATTTATATATCCTTTAAGTTTCGCGCGTAATATCTTTAAACAGATCGATCGATTTAACGATGTAAAAATAAGCAAGATCTATTGTTGATAACGAAGATAATGTTACGAATAATCTGACAAGAATTATGTCGATACGTAAATTGATCGAATTGCGAATGAATTCCATATAATCGCCGTTAACATTTTGCGATATTTACATAAATCTTGTATTCACTTTATATTCACCGAACTCAATAATCATACTAACGATGGTATTACACAAGAGTTGGACAAAAACGTTGCCAACTTCTCAAAGTTGAAAATATTGATAATCGTTGAAATAATAATGAATAAAAAAAAAAAAAGAATGTAACGGAGGAACAGAAGTTTATGATTAGATAGTAAATCGATATCACAATAAAAGTAATATCAATTAAAATAAGATAATGCTTGCTTTAGCAATAAAGTGCACAGACTTTGCGAATCGTTTCTAACGTTAAGCGTGATCGATAATTAAGAAAAGTTTGAATCTCAGGATAATAGATAAATGATAAAAGCGATAATTTAATAAACGGTCAACCAGTCTTTACTCCTCTAGGATTAAACGAAATTCGTCTTGTACTTTTTCACGATACGTTCTCAAAGGAAAAAGTAAGAGGGAAAAGAAGAAAAAAAAAAAAAAAAAAACAACGTTCCTTTTTACGTATAAACTTTTTCATTCAATTATACGTATAAAATTTGACAAGTTATTTCCAAATAACGCCAAAGATATCATTGTAAATATAAGTCATGCGATATATAGTCAACAACATATGTTAAAAATATATTAGTTAAATAATCACGTTATTTTGTTGATTTTCTTATGTCGTTTAATTATCTTGATAACCAGAAGTCGCCTTCACATTTCAATTAACGTGTGTTTAATTTTATGCCTACATTTGTATTAATTTTGTCGATCGAATAGACAAAAAGCGAGATTAATCGAACAACGCAAATTAAGTGTAATCGATTAGCCGTATCAATTTATTTACCATTTTCTTTCCTTTAGATTCACGTGCATTTGTGCATGCAAAATTTTTAAAGATATATATGTAAATAGGCGTATATGTATATAATATATATATATGTATATATATATATTATATATATAGCTTTTCTGTGATGATGAACCTGAATTTTATGAACTTTCCGAGCTACAAATAGGTTAATACCTCCGTTTCCATAGCGTGTGCGTGCGTGCGTGTATTATTAATTCTAACGATGCATTTCCAATTTATTTGCACCACTATTATATCGTATAGTCTACCAACATCATACAGTCATACACGAATATTATAATTATAATTCTTCCTCAACCGACGCAATTTATTTATCGAGATATTAATTATTAATCATTAGAATTGGAATATTACAATTTCTTAAATCGTGTGTTATTTTAAATGTTCGATCGAGTTAAGCACGAATAAATCGAAGATTAATATTAAAATTGATAAGAAAAAAAAAAAAATCGAAATGCGTGCAATTCCTCCGATATAACCTAATTTTCTAAAAAAGTCACTCGTACATTCGAACAAGTTAGTTTTCAGAATTTTTACTTAGAACACACACTTGTGACTGTACGGGGCCTTCACACGAGAGAAAAATTTCAAAAGTATATTTTCTTCGAATAAATATACAAAAGGAAAAAAAAAAAAAAAAAAAAAAAGAAAATCCATTCTTCGATATTTAAGAAAAGGAAAACAGATATCTATGTATGAATTACTTGTTTATCCTTGCGTCTTAATATATCTACGTATATACATATATAAATCTATCGGCACGTTTTGCCAATTCGAGTAATAATTTATTCTTTCATGGTACAATAACTAGTTCTACAGTGCATGTGCTCGCGTTATGGTAGCGTGATTATGCATACGCGGCCTTACAGGCGTTTACGAGATGTAATAAAAGTAATATTTTATTATGGAGACGAAAAACTGCATTTCAAATATACCGAAAAACCGAGTCGTGTGTGACTTTCGTCGAGTAGCTATTAAGTAGTTATTAAGACGAGGTATATGGGATAATAATTTTTTTGTAAAAGGACTAGTGAGAACTTCTATATTATATTTGTGAAAGCGGAGCGAATTTACGTCTAACGTATATACGAGGTTTTAAAATGCATGTTTTTGTTCAAGCGAACGAGAGGATACGTTTCCATACGTGACGAAAGACGTTTTGAGAATTTAATTAAAATTGGTGATAAGTGTGTCCACCAAGTGTGTCTTAAATGTTAAATTTCCTTCTCAAAGATTTCTCTTGTTGACTGTTATAACTCAATAACCGGAACGTTCTCACTACCTCTTTATTAATAAGATATCCTATTATCCACGGTTGATAACCTTGAAACAATCGCTTAAACCGTTTGAAAGTGGCTTAAAGTCTACGCAGAAAGAAAAAAGGAAACGATGATAATTCGGTTTTACAACATGATGCAAACCCAAGTTTAAGAGTTTCTTTCTGAACTGTAAAACAGGGAAATTCGAGCAAAATCGTTCCTTTAGTTTTACATATTCTAGAATCTAGCATATATTCTACAACTGTTGTACGTGGTCCAAAACTGATCCCCGTGATCGCTGGTAGTCTGGATTTTCGTGGGCAATTGTGTTGTTTGTGTTGTTAAATTATTAAAAAAAAAAAAAAAAAAAAAATAGATTCATTATCTAATTACATACATAAGTTATTGCTTTTGTTATTTCTTTAAGAAAATAATACGATCGATAATCGATTTTCGTTACACGATTATTTTTACATTTAAATATTGTAGCAATAACGTTTTAATTGAAAATAATTTAACGTTTATATTAAACGTTGATGTGATATTTTTTAGATTAAATATTTCGATAAATTAATGCGCACGATTATCCTGCTAAAAGAACGGTTTTGTTACAAGTTTAGTTACAAGCAAATTTATTCCATTGTAAATGGAACGCGAAGACTTACGTTAAGACTCCTTTTTAGACTTTATTAGAACAACCCATTTTTTGAATTGTATAAATGTGTATATGTGCACACAGCTACACGTACTCAAGCATACATACATACACACATTCACGTATAAACGTATACTATTCACACGTACAAAAATATAAAAAATTTAAACTAAAATAAAATAAAAAGTAAATTACAATTCCAAATTGCTTATTCTTTTTCGGAATTATTTCGTAATATTGCCTTTGAATATCATTAATTAATAAGATTATTTTAATAAATTATATTAGTAAGTGAATAAAATAATTCACAGTTATTTTTATCAATTTTATACAATTTTCATAATTTTCTTAAAAAACAAAATCATTAGTTCATTATATCATATATAATAGTATCGAAATTTTTTTAAAAACTCGAAAACTGCGTAAAAAAAAATTGCATAAAATAATATTCTTTGCAACATATTTCAAGGTCATTAAAATCGATTAATCAATAGATTTATCTTCATTATAATTGCATATTTATATATAATTATAATTATAATTATAATTTACTAGATTATAAATATAGGATTTTACAAATTATTATTATTTTAAATCTAATAAATAGCTTGCAATACTTTATATATATACATATATAAATAGTTGAAGAAATGACATGCGCCCTCTTTTAGAAGCGTTTCAATGATACAACACACAGTAGCGCTCAACTCTGTTCAGTACTCAGGGCGCGTTCAATCGAAGTGGTTATGCACATGCAATAAAGATAAAATTCACGTTTTTGTGACAACAGAAGAAAAATATTGAATATCGATCGGATTACACGAGTAGATTTTTGACGAATTAATCTTTTAGCGAATCGACGATTTTCCAAGGATTTATTCTCGTGAAAAGTGCAAAACATAGCAGAATACCAGGAACACTCCTCGTGGGTAAGTTGACACTCGGAAAATTTCCGTACACGTATGAATTTCTGTTATTAAATTGATTGATTTATTATTAATATAAAAATAATTATATTAAATGAATAAAATAAAAATAATGTAATTTCGCTAAATTTTATGAAATTTTATCAATGTTTATGTTTTCCATATTTCTTTTTTTCGTTCTATAAAAATATGCGTATAAAATTCAAATTTTTAATTCATTTAATTGATTTCATTTAATTTGATTTTTCAAAATGTAATGTGACTTTTGCATTAATATAAGGAAAAAAAATTATATCTTATGATATGTTTTAAAAAATTTATAATTTTGGAAAAAAAAAGAACAGATAATTTTTTTAAGATTGTTATTTCTTTTTGTTTTCTATACCTAACACGTGCTTCATCTATTATATATCCATGTGTATATATTTAATAAATTTTAATTAATTATAATATATAAACATTCTTGTAATTTTTGTTTTTCAATAAGATGACAAATATTACGTCAATTTTAATACATATTTAAATAACTTTTAATAATTAGAATATTTGTATATTATAGTTAATTAAAATATTTGTTTAGATTTTTTTTCTTTCTCTTAATAATTACACATTAACTATTATTTAGTTGTTATCACATTATCACATGTTTATTTATGTTTATTTATGCATTTATATTACATTTATAATATAAAAACATTAAAATATATTAAAATTTCTTTTAATCGATAAGCTTTTAAATTGAGCGATCGAAATTTAATTTCTGCGTTATCAATAGAATCATAGTTTTTTATTTTTCTTAATAAAAAGATAATTTTTCTATCAAAAAAATATTTTGATAAAAAAGATGACAAATGTTACTTTTATATTTTTTTACTTTATTTGTTATTTGAATCTCTCTAATCATTAATATTTTATTTCCTTAACCTAAATTTTTCTTATATGAAATAGAAGTCGTGTTACATTTGATATACTATGATATCGATTACAAATACTAAATATTCATGCGTTCCATGAAAAATAATATTTTACATTGTATTTAAACACATTGTATGTATATATTATACTTATATGGAAGGATTAACGTTGATTATAGGATTACTATGCGAACAGGTTATGTCATGAAAATTTATATAACTTATACAGGCACACTGACATTAATATTGTTCACGTTATTACAATTGATGAAAAAATTTTAATTAAATATATTATTATATAGATTTATTAATAAATCTATTTCTTTTTTAAGTAGTTATTTTATCATATATATATTTAAAATTTCAAATATATAGTTATGTAACCGTTTTTTAATAACTTGATTCTTTTACTTTAAAATTGTGCTATAAAAGTAACATATCAATAATAACGAAAATTAATATTCACGTGTTATGCACGATGAGCAAGTTAGATGTTGCTTTCAACACCGGTGCATTTAAGATAATTAATCGGAACGATAATGATCTACATGTTCGAAAAATGTATAACTTCCTTAAATAATTAATGGTCTCGATAAGATTTTATTTTTAATTTTTTTAATTTTCTTCTTTTTTAAGAAATTTGAGAAATAATCTCTGCGTCCTATTAAAAACTTCTTTTTCAATGTGAATGATATTGAAAATTATTTTTCATCGATATTTCTATTTTTTTTAAGAAATGTATCCAACGTTCAATTTAACATATATCAGAATCATTGTAGTCATCCGATGGTGGATAATGTTAAAGAGTTGAAATATTTATCCATTATACGACAACAAACTATACTTGACCGAATGTATGCTACACAAGCATGATAATAAGAGATTAATAAAACAAATATTAACATTACGATATTTTTTGCAATGATAATATTGCAAGTTAAAATTTGCTCAACAATTTATAATCATATCGTTGTCGAGTGAATAAATCGATCAGATTTTATCTGTGTAAAAAAAATTATAAATTTTTGAAAAGACATTACATTACGTTATTAACCGAAAAAATGAATGATAACAGTTCTTGGTTGAACTTGAGAATGATGACACGTGGTCGATCGAACTGAAATTTTTAGCGAGCAGGTGTCATAGAGAACGAAGATAAATATAGAAATATGAAATCTCAAATTAGGCAAAAGTTGAGTAATTGAAAGACACAGACTTACATTCTGTTCTCGATATCTATTTTATTTAATTATTTGAATTTCTCTTCGATCGATCATCGATAATATTTGGAAAAATATCCTTGGATCTCGCTTGTTTATTTTCTTCTGGCGGATGAGAGACGTTAGAATCGACCATGTCGGTCGTCATGGTGACTCCCCTCGATCACTAGCTTTAGGCATTCCTGAATCATCCTGTAGTACTCATATTCCTGTGAACTAGCCAAAAAGAATAAGTGTAACTCGTGACCTAATCTCCTTAATATATCTATAAACTAAAATCTGCTGATTTATGAATTTTTCATAGACTTTTTTTCTACTATTCTTTATGCCGGAAAAAATATTAAATTATTCAGGATAATATTCTATTTTTAGTTTTTTAATTGACGATTCATCTTATATAATGGTATTATTTATATCTTTTTAAAAAATGAAGAATCAAATATTGCACATTTAAATTTTTATAATAACTAAAACTAAGGAAAAATATAAAATTAATTTGTCTTACTTTTAAAAATTTGTAAATATGAAACAATCCAATGGCAATTGCGGATGATAAATACAGTGGCGATTAAGGATTAGTCGCGTGCAGGCTAATAATATCCGTTCTGAATTTCCTTCCTGATAAGATAACCTTAAAACTATGGCCACACCTTGTAGGTGAAGGTTCACGTGAAGTCAAAAGAACAATCGATCGACAGCTCTTTGAATGAATATCTTGGCTAGAGAAGAACTATAGAAGCATAAAGTTATATAATTTAATATGAAAATAAAATTTTCATATTTTTATTATTAATTTTTGATTTCCTTATGATTTATTTAGAAAAAAAATTTTTTTTTTATTCTATCGATAAATTTTATTCTTAGCAATTTCTCAAGATTTTTTTTTTTATCTCTCTAAATAAGTATTTATCGTCGCTATTTGTTGAATGAAACAACTCGAATGAAATTTCTCAAAAGATTACACGTACAAGTCTGATCTGTGTCATCAAATACTACTTCGTTTCTGGTCTTTACATTGTTTTCCACGCAATGCGTAGAACGCGAAATAGATTAAACTGAGATATGTAGATAGATCGTTTATAATCGGTAAATGAAAAGTAAAGAATTTCTAGAGATAGAGCAAATAAGATTTTCTAAAATTTCGATATTAATATTGAAATAACAGTCGATATCAACTGCAATAGTTAAATTGGATTGTATGAACAATGAATATCTTTAACTATGAGATTAAGAGAGAAAGAGAGAAAGAGAGAGAGAGAGAGAGAGAGAGAGAGAGAGAGAGAGAGAGAGAA